GAGATTAATTATAAAATTAAATTTATATCTTTTTTTTAAATGTTATGATTTATTTAAATAATTATAAATTTAAAACTTGTTGTTGGTATGACTTATCTCACTTGTCTGGCAGTAACATCAGAATAAGCGCACGAAATTCATTGTGGCAAGGAGTGCAAGATTGCTCCTGTCGTTGGCTGAAACCTTGAGCACAATACAGGTGACAGTATGACTTTGCTCAGTTCCACCCCTCATTTTGATAAAGCGTGTGTATGGGTCCGAGGATCTCCTATCTATCTTCCCCTATCATCACTCTAGAAGACTTTTGGCTCGCCGGAAATTTAGAGTGCACCATACCGCACAGACACTATACATTTACAAATATCCATGCTTTCTTCGGGATTCGAATACGGGCTCTTCGGTACGGCAGTCAGCTTCAATAACCTCTATGCCGGTTGGGCGGCAAATTTACAATTTTATGGTATTTGTTTATTCGTCCTATAGGCTTTGCTATTTTTGACATGATGCAAAAATTACTGTACTGAGTAGAGCCATGCCGAAGATGGGGCGAGAGAGGCAGTTGTCTCAAATTTCATCTTAAGAACTGGCGAAAATTAAAAATATAATAAATTTAACCTTAATGTGAAAGCGATTAAATGGTAGTCAGCGGACACGCTCTTGAGGTTAGCCCAAGTCTTAAATCTATCTTCATGGCTCTGGTATTTGGCAATGTTGAGGAAAAGATCTTTACTATTTCCTTATTTTATTTATAAATTCACACAAAATAAGTTTATTTTATGAGCATAAGGTCTAAAGGCTTAACTAAGACATTATGATTATTTGTATGACCGATTTTATGAATGTTTGAGCGACCTGTATGGACTCCATGAACTGTGGACATTGTATGAAATTTATTTTTAGATAATTGAATTTTCATGTAAATATATTCCTCTTTCATGTAAATATATTTCAAAATTTATATTTTTAAATTATACATTGAAATATGGAAAATGTAATTAAACTGGCTATTATTACTTAAAATTAAAATAAATCTAGTTAAGGATGAATATGGAACAATACATTTTTGCCGCTGGTGAAGACCAGGTGTACCTATTCATTATTAGCTGAATTGAACACATTCAGTATCTTGTTCTAAGAATTGCCTCACAAAATATTAAATAAAAACGCAGGTCATAAGATCATAGTTAAAAATACAAAATAAAGCTTTGAGTGACATTATTTATGTTTATTCCTCTGCAGGTATGCTTTTCAGGATAAAAAAATTTATTTTATATAATTGAGTAATTTAGTGAGCGATAAATTTAAGAGTATTGCACGTGATTTATTTAATTTTAATTTTATTTAAATTTATTTTAGCAAACTTAAGTCATTTTTTCTGCATGTTACACAAAATTTATACACACATGTAGACATTTTATGTTAGAGAGGAAATTTTGCCGCGAAAAGGAAAAGCTCTCTGTGCTTCTTTTTTAATCTCTAATTATTTTCCTCATAGGAATATTGAGAATTTTATCAAATGTTGTTCTTGAAATTATTTTTACAAAAAATGTAATTTTGGTTATAAGGAAAAAAAAAGCTGAGAGTTTCAAATACACTGTTTGACGAATAAATGTTAAAATCTAGCTTATCAGTGTAAAAAGTAGCTCTCAGCAGCAAAAAATACTGCCAAGGTCAGTCTAACATGCACTTCTTGATTTCTGCTTAATAAACTTATATATAAATCAATAAACATATATAAACGACTTATGGAGGTTTTTTGAAGCTCGCGAACTTTTATAATCTTATTTAGATATGCGAAGTACTTGTAAATAGTAGGGATTTACCCATCTGCACTTAATAATTAAAATACTTAATTTTCAGATTAAAGAAAGAATTTCAGATAATTATGTTAAATTCGATTCCTAAGTGTTTAATTTTCTTCCGGAATTATTATTTTCTTTGGGATTATTTCTTTCTTTCCATATTATTATATTGTTATTATTGATTTAATGTATTGAAGAATAGACAATTGTAAAATTAGCAAAGCAACAACCTTGAGCATAACCTAGATTTAGTCGATAAATCAATCGATTTCTAGGTCCCTTTTCATCAAAAGCAAAGATCTGTCAATTTGTCTTGCACATTTCTTTGCTCATGATGAAGAGGAACTTGTACCTGTTTACTCTCAAAATTGATTGAGTTATTGACTAAATCTACATCATGCACAAGGTTGTTGCTTTGCTAATTTTATGTTTCACTTTGGTGTGTTTCTCTTCTCTTTTGATATAGACAAAAACTTAAATGTTATGTTCACTTAATATAAAAATTATTATATTCAATTTTCCAGCTCTTTTATATCATTACCCTGGGGAAATGTATGAGATTTTTAATGTCTTGACTACCTCTCCGTCTGTTTTTCAAGGGTTTTCCTTATAAATAAAATAACAGGCCATTCTTACTGAGCATTTTTTTTTTTTTTTTTTTTTTTTCTTTAATGTCTTAATTTCTACCAGGTAAAAACTGTGGGGCCAAAAATCCTCATTAACTTAAATTTTTAAATAATTCAAATATTTTTCTTTAGTTTCTCATATACATATCAGTTCATAAATTTACAGAATACAACTTCACAGAATACAACTTTAGAAGAATTTTACAGAATACAACTTTTTATTTATTTCAAAAATTTATAATTAAGTAAACAAGAAGAAAAAAGAAATAAGGCCTCATTTCTCTTCTTAAAATATACGTATCTGGCTAAATAAAATTATCCAAATTTTAATTTGATATAAAGAGTACTTTCATTCTGTTGCATAATTCTATTACCAGCAATAAAATTACATAAAACGTTGTCTTTTCAACATGTTTAAAAACAATTTTTTAAAAATGATTTCACTATATTCGGTACACTTTACAAAAATTAATTTTTAATCACAAAAATTATTTACGAAACTCACACACACACATATACATATATATACATACACAACGCAGGCACACACTCACATAGTCTCTCTATATTTTCCTTAACTGCATTAAAAAAATGATCAGTGCATGAAAATCAAATAATTCATTTAAGCAAATTTTACATATACTGAAAGACATAAAAAATATTTTTTGATTAGCTCAGCTTTAAGTATTTTATTTTCTATTAGCATGTATTTTCGAGTTCCGTCCCCCCTCCCATATTCATACACGAACATAAAAACATTTGAGTGACTTAAAAAAATAATAATAATAATTTTTGTCGCAAAACATGCGGAGTTTTTTTAAGCGCTGTCATATTTATCTAAGCGACCATTATTTAATATTATTTCTACACTTAGAGTGAGAAAAAATAAACATTTGCAATGCGTTTATTTATTTATTGTGTGGAGCTTGAAATTGTTAGAAGAAACATTAAAGCGCGCCGAAGAGCGAGCAGCAAGAGAGCGCTTGGCGCCAATCACTGCTGGGTAGTCTTTAAGCGTCACCGCTAATAGATCGCAAACCGGAAGGCTTTTTCGCTGGCACGCTATTAAGGGTGTCTATGGGTCACTTGTCAAACATTCCGGGAAGCGCGTCAGAGGCGAATGAAAAGGCTAACAACCGTCTCAAGTCCAGCGGTACCATCAGAATAATAAATGCTAATACCATGAAACTCGGACTACATAGCAGCTGAAGACACAGCTCTTCCCATTGGTGCTATTCCGGCGCCCCGGAATTCTATTGGTTCGCAGTGCCTGAAATAGGAGGAGCTCCAGTCAGTCACCTGTTGGCGTTCCCGCCAACCGCTCCCAAGGGGGCGGTCTCCTTCGGGAAAGAGCCTGTTACTCCGGACTAGTGAATAGTGAGCACAAGCACAAAAGACATCCCCCGGAGGTTTAGTTCCGTCAAATCGTCATTTACAAGCAGAACGCCGTGCTGCGTCCGGCATCTCGAAAGCGTCTCGTGTCCCGGCTATAACATTGACACTGGTCGAATACGGACTCATCCTCTGAGGCAAAGTATTGCTCCTCTGCAGTCGTCACCGACAGCGTGAGACCTCTTCGCTCAGACATGCCTAATAAATAAACAACGGTTTAAAAAAAAGATAGAAAATCTTACCATTTATTCTCCGGTGGGACGCAACTTCTTGCCGGGCATCAGCTGAAACGGAGCAAGATAATATCGTGGGACAACCGTCCCAGGAGAGGCATTCCTGGCGACTGGACAGACTCAGTAATTGCCGTAAGTGTCGCCCAGGGGCATATGTGATGACTATGGGCTTCTCTTGAGCTGCTTGAAACTTGCGGTCATATATATGTTGTCATGAAATACTTGTGAGTAAAGAAAATCCTCTTCTTTTTCTTTAATAGAAATTGCTACCATTTCTCAAGAGAGCTGCTTTCATAGAAATCCTCAGCAAATAATAAAATTAATTTCTTCGCTAGTCGTAATCAAAGTTAATATTCTTCAGTCATTCAAATTAATAGTTGTTTTTTAAACTACTGAAGTCTCGACTTTGGAAAACAATGGCAGAGACTTGTTTTTAATATGGACATATAGCCGCATTACAGCATCAGGAAAATGAGAACAATCATATAGATGCATACCATTGTCAAAAAACAAACTGTTCAATCTAGAGTAAATTCTGAGATGATTTCAAAAGAAAAAAATTGATCTTGCTGGGGAAGGAAAAAATTTGAAATTTTTTTCATTTCGAATGACTCTGAGATGAACCTCCCTAATAATAATTTCATTCAATTCTTCTTCAAATCAATAAAAAACGGAAACTATAGCCGATTACGAAACTCGTGGTAAACAGGAAGACGAGTGTCAGACGGCCAAGCATCGAGTAGTACATCCTCAGCCAAGGTAGAAACCGGGAGGCAGAGCACTTGTGACGTCATTCTCTCCAACACGTGGTCCAACAGGGGCGTATTAGTTGTGTGTGTACACTTTGCGCGGCAGCGACTCTGAGGAGGACCGGGAAACGTAACTCACTGAAGTACTCGTTGTTGCCTGAAAGTCCCAGGCGTTAGCTTGATCTATCGCCGTGAGGCTACGGAAAACGAGTTAAGATGATGTTCGGGCTTCAAGAGAGTGGGCTCCAGCCCAGGGGGCCCATGGCTACTCTAAAAGAAGAGCCGCTCACATCAGCGCAACTGGGCAGTGTTCGGACAGGATGGATGCAGCCGGCAATGATTGACCAAACCGCCGGGAGGTGAGTGCGTCAATTCATTATTCATTTCTTACAGTCAGTTGCGTGCAACTTCAAAGTTAGGAAGGGCTCTCTTTAAGTCTCTTTTGTGACCAAATTTCTTTGGAATTATGAAACTTAATTTCTTTATTGATGGTGATACGAAAGTTAAAAATTTTTATTAGGTTAGCGATTTTTTTTTTCCCCCAATTAAAATCCTTTTGAAAGAAAACTTTGTTAAAGAGATTTTGTTCCCGTTTTGATGTCTCTTTTTTGTTTTTGTGAATTAAGCTTTACTGATTTTAATAAGTTCTTGAAACTTTCATGCAAGTTTATCTGCCTGTATAGATATATTCATTACATTTCATTTAATTGTTCTTTAAGATAAGCTTATTTGTTTTGAACACTTATACATATAATGAATGACTACTTTCACATTTCTTAGCTTCTTACATGTGTACGATTTTATTGACAAAGACTTCAACAATATTTTACTTAAGTTCGAGGACCGAATTTCAAATCCTGTTAATCGAAATTTGTTTTTTAACCTGAGACTTTTACATACTAATTAAAGCTTAGAATTTCTAAATATCTTTTTCTGAGATATGTGAAATGTATTGAGATTTTATCCTTTATTTCTTTTTCTGTTTTTGAATTTCTGTTAAGTCAAGTCAGGATTTAAGAAAATATTTTTCAGTAAAATAACTTTGATAATCTATGTCAACATTTGATAATCTATGTCAACATTTGATAATCTATATCAAGTAACATTTGTTTCACACTTTTTGATAAATCCATCTCTTTTCTTTCATATTTTAAGTCAAAACGACTTTTCTCTGAAAAGGTTTGGATTTCAAATTAATGATTGAAGTTTGTAATCACAAAGTATGCTATTACTACTAGAAGGAATTTTATTAAAAATTAGATTATTAGAAGTGCAAGATACATTGTGATTAAAGTATATTTTATGATGATAATTATTTTCTTTGTTTATTTATTTATTTATTTTATTACTTAATCTGTGGAAACAGCATATTTAATTTTGGAATTTATCCGTCAAATAGAAAATGCTGAAAATAAGGATATATTTATTATTTTGCAATACTCTTAACTTACGCAGTAGAATAACTCAAATAAATTAAATTTCAGTAGTTGTCATAAACTTCATGACAAAATAATGCTTAATTTTTCCCATTGTTATTGTCTCATTGTTAACTTTTGCTTTTCGTATTTTGTACTGCATATAAAAGTAGGTTTATTTTGAGCCCAATATTAGAAGTAGTACGTACAGCATATCTGCCCTTAGTTCTGAAATCAATTTTAAAGTCTTATTTTCGATTATACGTCTTTTGGAAGACACGTTCAAAATGTATAAGGAACTACAGAGTTTATTATGTGAATTAGAACTTAAGAGAGACAACTTTATAACTCGCTGCCTTTTAAAACTTTTCTAAAATATAAATGTTTGTTTGAGGAGGCTGAAATAATACAGACACTTTTAAGTAGCATTATCAGCTTATGTTTTGAAAGCGGCGACTTAGTAATAAGTATGTTTAGACCTTTTTTTTTTCAATTTCGTTTTGTGATCCGACCATTATTAATGTCATTTCTGGTGGAAGTGTTACATTCAACACTTCTACCAGAATTTTACAGTTAAAACAATTGTGGTCACACTTTTAACATCGAAAATCTACTGGGAATCAAATTTAAGTATTAGCAATTTGAATAAAAACATTTGAATAAACATTTAATTTCTACTATAATAAGAAACTATCGAACATTATTTTAATAATAAAGTTATTATATCAAATAAATCTTGAATTTGCATAGGTAAGTTAGTACAGCAGGTCCTTTAAGTAAAAAAGTAAAGAAATAAATATGAATAATAAAAACTTAAATCGTTTTCCGAATAAAATTAGAAAGAAAAATAATAATAATTTAAGACATTTTCCGAATAGATTTGGAGACTGTTGCTTTAAAACTTTTTAAAGAAGATTTCCTTAGAATCATGTAGACCCTTGTACAAAGCCTAAATCCTGGTAAAGAGATAAATTAAATGTGGGTTACCTTATTTTTATTATTAAAGCTACCTTATTTTACGTAATTATTTTATAAAATTATTGCAGCTTTATTTCTTGTTCTTTCAGAATAGAGCAGTTATGTGCTCTACGATCACATTATTTTTCAACTTTCTAAACGTGATTAATTTTAAAAACAACTTTAAAATCAATACGCTTTATATTTATTTAGTTTATTTTCATTTCGTTCCACAACAAGCGAGTCATACATCTCTTTAACTTCTCATTATAAACTTCTCATGCAGTTATTATGCATGTGTTTAGGCCAATAAATGTTTAAGAAGTTTTGCGGCAAACTTCAATGAATCAATTCAGTCTTTTCTAGTTCAATTAAACTTACAAGCGAGAATAAATTACGTCTGCACTTAATTTGGCAGTAAAATATGCCATTTGTAAATAATAATAACTTAATATATTCTTCCCTGAATGATAACCATTATTAATTTGTATTTGTGCATAGTAAAAAATGTAATTTAGCTGCATATACAGTTTTCGATCATTTAGGAAGTTTCTCATAGACCCAAATACTTAGTTGCATATATAGTTTTCGATAATTTAGGAAGTTTATCATAATCCCAAATATGTTATTTATTGGCACGGCTTAAACTGATTAGTTTATTAACTGAATCAATCGGTATTATATATAAACTTTTAAATACTTTTAAAGCGGACTACTGTAAAGTGATTTATGATTGATTCCAGACTTCTGTAGAAAGCGAGAAGCTTAGTCCTTCTATTACCGCGTTTTAGTGCAGAACATTTCAAAAATGCTCCCCATCTCATTCTCAGAAGCAACGCAAAAACTTTTTATATTCTCTTTTCATTCCGGAAAAGCAAGAAAAAAAAAAATTCTTTTTAAGGATTTTACTTGACATTCCTGCAGATCGAAAGCACCTTTTCTAAAACATGATACAGCAAGTATGCATGACATAGTTCAGCAGCCTAGAAATTTTTTTGACATAGTTTAGCAGCATATAAACTTTTTTGACATAATTTAGCAGCCTAGAAGTACTTTTTTGACATAGTTTAGCAGCCTAGAATTTTTTTCTGTAACATAATATGAATTAAAGAAATGTTGTTTAATGCAAGGATGTGTGCTTTGAAAAAAATTCTGCATAATGAACGATAAAGGGTTAGTTCGTTTGTTTCCACAATGCATAATCTCCTTGATTTCAGAAACTGCGATCATAAATTAACTTAACCAATAAAAGCGTCTTCTGTCGTCTAATTTTACTTATTTATTTATTTAGTCTGGTTTGCACTACCTTATATGGAGATTTCTAACAGGAAACAATAAGTTTCTAAGCTTAGAAATTTGTATTTTGTGCTTGGGCACTTTAAGTTAATTTAATTCTGTTACTATTAGTAATGCTACATGCGAAACGACTCCTTTCTTACTGTGTATTACCTAATTCACCTCTGCATTGTCTCCAATTAAATGACTCAATAGAAGGGGAAATCAAATGAAATTCACCTGGCTGCTATTCATGTTGATGCCACAAAACATTAAACTAGTTACTATATAGGCATATTAGAACTCAAAAAGGAAAATGTGTAGTTTTCAGATTAATTATTAAATCGAAAAATTCTTTCATAGGAGAAGCAAACGATTACAAAATGGTAAAGATACATTAAAAAAAAAGTTACTTTCCTTTAAAAAAAATTTAAAAGTAAAAAAATAGAAGACGCAAAAGAAAAATAAAACTTAGAAATTCTCTTTCCTGACTTTTGCTGTGCGAGAAAAGAAAAAGAAATGTACCTTCTTCCAGTTACTCAGCGTAAGCACCTAGGTTCCGATTGCTCGGGCTTAGGTGATGTAAAGAATCAAGCTAAAATCTCAGTGAAATTGGACATGTAAAATCGAGACCCCCCACGCACAGGACTCAACCATTAATTATTCGAGATACCGCAGGCAAAATGGCACCAGGATGGAATAATGGTCTCGAAATGAACTTTTGGTTTCGGGAAGTGAATCCCACGTGTTTTAAAATTCTCTACTTTTGCGCTGCAGCACGACTGGGCTCAACGTTGAAAAGTATAAGCAGGGGAGTACTAAATCTAAAATAGTCCCCGCACTTTGGGCTTCCTAATCCTGTAAGACGCTCTTTGGGTTGCAGGGAGTGCCTAGCGGAGGGATGAGCTTAGAAAAAATGAAGATTTTGCTGAATCCCGCAATTTCATTAGAGCTGTTTTCTGTCCGTTGCCGCAAGCTGCATGTTAGAATTCCAGAATGTTTCTTATAAAACTTATATTTATTTAGGCAGTATAGTTGTAGTTCGTTAATAAAATACATATAAAAAAACTAAGGTAATCTTTTGTTATTTATGGGAGAAACTTTCTTATCAACGTTAATTTCAGCCACCTATTTAACATAAGCAAAAGGAATTTTGGCTTTGATGCCAACCTATTTGTTGCTTCCATCAACTTCCTTTGGGATGCATTTCGATGAAGCCCGAGAAATTATGTTTTTTCATTCACCTAATACGTTCTGAAATATCCTTGAATACTTTTACTTATGCCTTTAATATTCATGATTATTCCACAATCTTAGTAATTAAAGAAGATTGAATCCCCGCTTTGTGGAAAAGAGTAAAAATTACAAGTGCGTTTGAATTCGTTAATTTAGTTTGATATATAAATATTAAGCATGTGTTTGCTTCTTTTCAACTGAAATTTCCTTTTGTTTTACACTTGATAAAATCCTTGATTCTGCAACTTTTCTTGCTTTCTCTTAACAAGGTTCTATTTTCATTAATTAATAGAATTTACAACTGACATTATTCTTAAAAGTGTTAAATTTAGAAAATCTGAATGTATCATGTTTTCATTTTATTAATCATTTTTGTGTCGAGCTACATAGTTTCTGTTCTTCAGCGAATCGTTTTAGGCAGTTTTTAAATTTCGCGGTTTTTAATAAAAAAAAATGAATGTGGAAACTTCTGATAAATACACATAATCAACTAGTTTGATTTCCAGTACTCGTGACCAAAATATGTTGATTAGAAGCAACCCAAAATACATTCAAAATTCTGGATTTCATAAAGGATATTAGATTTCAAGAACCCTGTAGTTACTATTATACTTTTTGTAGTTGCTACTATACATTTTATACCATTTTAATTCCAGTATAATTCTTGCTACAGATATTTTACGGACCTTTTTCAAAGTAAGAAGTTCTGTAAAGGTTTCAAATGCAAAAACTGACATATATATATATATATATATATAATATATTTCCAAGATAAAGATTTACCAGTAAAATATGGAAAACCGCATATTGATTTACACTTTGTCCAGTAAAAAAGCGGAATATACTATTCTTTATACTTGAAAGGAGGAAAAGTGCTAGTAAATCTATAGTGCAAGCACTAGCTGCTTTTGTCCTAAAAATAATTATTCATGTAACTTATTCTATTGAAAATGAATGTTTGTTTGGCAATGATGAATGATACTTAAACAAAAAAAAGTTTGAAAGGATATAAATACTGTCACTGAGGAAACTTACAAGACAAATTTTCTTGCAGTCGGAAAAAACAATTCACAGTACAAGTCACACAAGAACTGTAAGATAATTTCTTATCAAAATATTTTCAAATAACCGAAAATCCTATTTAATTAAATTATCCGATCTTTTGCTCCCTTGCAGATATTTTATAAAAATACAGTTAATTAGAGAGTAAGTAAATGTTTTAAACATGTTTTGTCTAAAAACGAAGCATTTAAAATTATTCTGAGAGCAGTGGAAATAATACTTAATTTGATGTGTGATCACAACCAGGTCTTATTTGATATAAGATTTTGCTCAATGATTTTAAAACAAATTGTTATAAGCACTTGTGTTAGGAATGCAACAAAGTTTTGTTTTTTAGAAACGAAATTACGTAGATTTTATTCATTTCTTACTATCTGACAGCAGGGATTACGATACAAGCTTGTATTAAGTGCATAAAAATTGTCTAAAGAAATTAGGCTTATTTAATTCAACTTATAATTAAGGCTTATAACAACAAAACAAATTTAATAGCATTTTAAATTTTAGGCGATCAGGTTTGAACAAAATTACAAGACTCCTAAACCTGTAAAAACGACATCATTTGATATTAGTCAATGACCCTCCCTTCATTTTCATTTTCCTTACTTGGTTGTATCATAATTATGAATCTTTGAAGAAAACATTACTTGTGCTTAATGATAAATAAATAAACTCTGCAGTCTTTAGCAGTGTTCACATCTGGTATTAATAATTTCTATTGTATTTGTATTTAAAATGTATTGCATTTTTTCTTATGTTACACATATTGCTAACAATGCTCTTCTCTTTTTTTTATCCATCTAGTGTGGGTTTAGGTCGAGCTCATTTTGAAAAACAGCCACCGTCCAACCTGAGGAAAAGCAATTTTTTTCATTTTGTCATAGCTCTTTACGACAAGGCCGGTCAGCCGGTTGAAGTGGAAAGAACGGCTTTTGTCGGCTTTGTTGAGAAAGATCAGGTTAGTTGTCATTTAAAACTTCAATTATCGCCAAAATTTTAAATAAATTCTTATTTTGATTTTCCCATTAGAAATTTATGCATACCAAAAGCATGTGCATGATTTTCTTAAGTTTAAAAATATAGTTGTATACTTATGAAATTGAAATTCTTTTACATATTTTCACTATTAAATATGTAAAACTAAAGAGCCATGCTCACATACATTCAAAGTCTAATAAGATACATTCAAGACCCGTGGCCTTTATTAGAAAGGTGATAAAAACAATGCAAATCAAATTCAAAAGATAAAGTCTCTTATAACTGTAGATCACAAAAGCAGTTTCTCGATTTAAATTTTAAGATGTTTCTAGGAGAGTTTCCAAGAAACTAAGAGAAACATTAAATAATACTCTGTACTTCATTTTAAAGTTAGCGAATATCTTTCATGGTTAATTCAACAGCTGCAGATATGTCTATGTTTATATGCTCTTTGAATACGGATCGAAAGTGTTTAATTTTACTTTCAATCTTCTTACACTGAAGCGGCTTAAATGTTATTTCGTATATGTTTTATACTTCGTGACTAGATTCTTCAAATGATATGAGAGAACTCAGATTGGAAACCCATTATGTCACATTTCCTTTTTATGTTGAATCTTTTGTTATGTGTAGCTTAAATATCCCAAAAGCTTGTATAGGGTTTGGTTTCACTTTGTTTTAAATGATAGCAAGTTTTTATGTCAGCAAAGGGTCTGCTAATTGAGTATAAAAAGTGGTATAAGTAACTGGGTATAGTTGAAATTTAAGTCTGTGAAAATGTACGTGAAGCATGCTGCTTATGCATAACAATATTTAGAATTGAGCAATATGCGTTAATCAGCTGCTGCGATATTCATTAAAATTTTCTAACCAAAATAATCATCAGAGAAAGCAAACAGACTCTTTAGAAATGCAAAGTAATTTTTCAGTCGAATAACGCCGTTCTAATTAAGGGGATGTTAAAGCCTCGAGATATTAGTAATTTTTCCCGGGTTCTTTTCCCGATGACTGAACGGATTGCCTGTTTGAGTTTTTGCGAGATTTCCCTCTTGTATAATCGGCCAGTTTTCCTTAGAAAGTTCTCCACGAAACATCCATTTAAAAAGGCAAACAGCAGTACGGAATTTCATTCTAAAATAATCTAAGAAATACAAGTTGATATTCAAGAAATATTAATTTTCTTATAAAATGTTTAGTCTTTGATAAAGTCATTAGAATATAAAATTACAGAAAAATTGTTCCCCTTTAGCAAGCTAGTTAATTTATTACACCTCAAAATTTCTGTTTTTCAACATGAACAATACCGCCCGCATTCGGGCCGTTTAAATTACCTAGCGGAGCATTAGGTTGGAAGACAAGAATGCTGGCAGTATAAGGTATTTTCTTCGTCTTTTCTGCATACCTGCGTGGCGCAATCGGAAGCATACTCGACGCGTATTCGGGAGGTCCAGGGTTTGGAAACTTTTTACGTCTCCTGCTTTAAAAATAAAAATAAAGATAAAAATAAAATAAAACTAATGCCTTTACAGAGGTATTCATGTAATATTTTATTAAACACAGGCCTAGGTCTTTATGAAGCATTTGTTATTCTGCTTACGTGGAAGATTCTGGAAAATCTTTTGTAGCTCTCTGCACATTATTTAAATAATATATTAATTCGGAATTAAAATAATATATTAATTTCTCTTTGCACACTACTTAAATAATATATTAATTTAGGAATTACTTGCATACTTTTAAGCTTGCATACATATTATACCAACGCAAGCAAAGACTACATCGCACACAGTAGAAATGACTCTCGTGAAGGACATCCTGCCGCGAACTACCTCACGTTCACTTTACCATATGGGAAAAATCGCTAAAACTACCCAATTTAGGCCCTAGGAATAAAACCTAGGGCGAAATCACAGCCCCGCTGCTCTACCCACCCGGCCACTGTTTGGATGACTTTCTAGACCGAAATGAGGAAACAGAATCATCTCCAATGGGATATATAAAATATGCAGTACTTCTGTCAATATGTAAGTTATTAAATGATAATTTTTTGATAAATTAATGAGACAAGTAACATTAAGTTGAAACAGAGAGAAGTCGCAAAATGTGTTACCTATTTACTAATTTTTTTACTAGGTAGAAATAATACAGCTCTTCTGCCTTTTAATAATAAATTCTTCTGCCATTGCAAGTAATTTCTCCTCCCTTTCCGTATACCTTTGTGGTGTAATTAAAAGCGCGATCGACACGTATTCGGGAGGTCTGGAGTTCGAATCTCGCCAAGGGCACTACGGATTCTGCACCTTCCTGACATCGAAAAATTCTAAATGACTCTAAAAACGGTGTCCAAACTAAAAAGTGGTGGGCGATAATTCGTCACCACCAGGATTTGGCGAATGGATTTTCCAATCCCTAGTCGTCCTTTAAAAGGGGAGTATATAAGGCATTTTCTTCCATCTTTCCGCATGCCTTCATGGTGTAACTGGAAAGTCAACGCGTATTCGGAAGGTCTGGAGCTCGAATCCCTGTCAGGGCACTGCACATTTCTTACGTTCCTTCATCGGTATAACCAAAAGACTGTACAATGCATGCATAACATAATAGTATCATACGCGATTTATATATATGCAGACTGTTTTTATATTATACTCTGCTAAATTTGACAATAAAATAAATAGGATTTCATTAACTTTAGGGAAAAAATGCCAAATATAGCGTTTAAATATTAGAGAAATAAAACAGGAGTAAAAATATCACAGAAATATGTTATTATTAGAAATATATTATTATTAGAGAAATATAACAGGAGTAAACATGTATAAAAAGATGCTTGGATCTGACGATATTTGAGGGTGAAATTTTTAATTTACAGACTATCGCCAAATTAGTAATAATATGCCATCTATGATGAGACGGAAAGCATTAAATCAATTCATGGATTTATAATAATTTTAGGAGTAATTTCACGGGAATCCATTCATCGAAACACAATGGCAACGTCAGAAATTGCAAATTCAGTTTCAGCGAAGAGTTAGGAAAGCGTTTACAAAGATGTAATATATTAGCATTTTCTAATTAATCTAGTTCGTTTAAAATGCTCATTGTTACTTTATTATAACTCTGCTTTCTAAACGTGAGCTATTTTCCTTAAATTACGAAACATATTCCACGGATATTTTCAAACCTACCATCTTACAGATTTTCTTCGGATAATTTTATTCATTGTTTCAAGCAAATAACCACGAAATATATCCACAACTGCGCACCATTGCAGCCCGAAGGAATAGGCGCCGAATCTGTAAGTGTATCCCAAGCACGAGAGACAATTTGAATACCGAAACTGTTTAATTACTTTCCAAGATAAAGTACAAAAGCGAAATACGAATGAGCTGAAGAAAGTCTAAAGTCGCTGGATCGAACACCTGCTTAAGTAGTTCTGACGTCAGATGCAACATTCTGCAGGCTGATGTAATTCAATTTTATCAAAGAAGGTAATTACATTTTCAGCCACTGCGTTCTTTCTTAATGATTATCCATATTTTAGCACGCTCTTCTGAAGTCTCCTAGTAACATTTCAGTTTCGCGAGTTTTAAATAAGTGATATCTTTAATTGTATATTCGTAACAAAGTGGATTATCTTCATTCAAATCGTTAATTTAACTTAGGTTCGTTATTGAAAAGATTCGGTTGAAAGAAAGTACAGAATATTAAAAGCCGTCTTGGAACATTTTCTTGAAATGTAGAACGTTCTCATAAACTATAACTAATTAACAATCTGTATCTAAGCGTAGATTAATATATTCGTGAATTATTTATGTTCTAAAAATACCCATGCAGGGAATAATTCTTTTGCAACTGCTGTTCGGCTTTTAGAGAGAATGGGGCATCAATAATTTAAAATCCGAAGTTTAAAAGCTTTATTTTTGCTCTGAATATATATTTGTCTGAAAAAAAAAGACTGTACATTAAAATTAATAAATAAATATAAATACATTTGAAAAAATTGATTTTCATTGCGTCAGCTATCCTTAGTTTTCACCCACCAACTAATCAACTGTGAAGTTGTTTCTGTGGTAAAAATTTGAAAGAATTCTAAACAATATTTTAAAGCAAAATTCTTCAAAGCAATTCAGAGAAATATTTTGAAAGAAATTTTCGAATTCTCGGTGATTCGAGACGCAATAAAAATTTCAGTTGCCATCTGGCACTAGTTGAAAGAAAAATGTAATATTATACTTTTTGAACGATTGTTTAAGATACCAACGTTTGTTTAGATGAATAACATACTACAATTATCTACCTAAAGAGAGGGATGCCTTCGTGGAGGACTTTTTAAGGGAAACTGGCTCTCATTCCCGTTCCTCATCAAGAATTAGAACATAGATTGTTGTTGACTTAATAACTTTTGAGCTTTTTCCTACGGTATCATAACTGCGTTTCAGTAGATTTTTGTCTGAAGTTGACAACAGAAATATCAAACTGCCTGAACTGGAGTATATTTTTAAGAGTGATTTTTTAAACTTTTTTTTTTTAATTTTAGCTCATTTATTATTGTCTCACCAGCGACTGAGTGGCTAAGTTGTCTGAAACCTGGTAGTTCGACAGGATAAAAGAATAGGCTGGCCTCATGGTTGGTTACAATCCGTTTTCCTTAAAAAGTTCTCCCTGATTGCGTTCCTCCGTTTAGGCACATACCCCTCGCATACTTTTTCCTAACTGCGTAACCAAATAAATTGATCTAGGATGATTTCACAAATACATTTTTTAAAAAACTTGCTATTATGAAGTATTTTCAAATACTGAACGCTGGCTGCATGAGATTTTCGTGCTCTTTTCCCCACGAGTTCAATTAATGTAAGCCAGATATCTTCATACCAGTTAGCTTTAGCTAGTCTTTCACGAAAACACCGCAAAGAGTGTTTTTTTTTTTTTTTTTTTTTTTTTTCCTAATAAAATTTTAATCACAGCTAATGAGAAATTCGA